TATTTACTTAATTAAAGATGTCAAATAGAACAAGGAAGGCATTATTTATCAAAATGAGCAAACTTGTAGGCAATGGAAAAGAACTTTATGAATCTGAGCTTCCAACAGCTAGAAATATTTTACGATATGGTATACTTTTAAGAGAAATTAGTGAAAAAAATACGAGCAACTATACTGTAGATCAGCTAGTAGTTGATATGGTACCAGCTGTACTTGGTCAATGGTTAAAGGCAATGCACTGTATATCCAGTTGTAATCCATGAAAAAATAATTTTTAAAAAACTCGAATGTTTATGGAAATCGGCTGTTGATTTTAGTAATGGACGTGGTAAAAAAGCTGAAAAAGCAAGGTTTTCTGTAAAATTAGACAAACTTGTAGACATTTTACTATGTAAATGTAAATTAATTCTTTGTTCAGAGTATAAATGTGCTTCAAAATGTATAGAAAAAATTCATATAAAATACAAATGTAAGAGAGAAGAGAAAATTCCAATTGTAGAGCTTCAATTCATTCTCGGAGAACTAAAATAGGAAGCTTTGGAACTTTTCATATTGGTGGTGCAGATTCCAAAAAAATTAAAAAAAAAAAAAAAGTAACAATGATAAAGAAAAAAAAGCTTTTTTAAGCCAGATAAAACAAATGATAAACTTGAAAAACTAGATTGTCTGAACGAAAATGAATCTTTATCACTTTTTCAGTCACATGTAGAGCAGTCCCATGTAGAGCAGTCCCATGTAGAGCAGTCCCATGTAGAGCAGTCACATGTAGAGCAGTCACATGTAGGGCAGTCACATGTAGAGCAGTCACATGTAGAGCAGTCACATGTAGAGCAGTCACATGTAGAGCAGTCACATGTAGGGCAGTCACATGTAGAGCAGTCACATGTAGAGCAGTCACATGTAGGGCAGTCACATGTAGAGCAGTCACATGTAGAGCAGTCACATGTAGAGCAGTCACATGTAGAGCAGTCACATGTAGAGCAAGTAAGTTTAAAACTATTATTTTCTATCAAAATATTTCATTGTAAAAGTTTTGTTTCTTTATATTCTATATTAAAACGGGTTACAATTATTGGTCAAATTAAAAATTTATATAGTATTTTTGTAGAAAAATATGAAATTGAGTAGGTGGGGTGTTAAATAAGTTGTTAATAATGTTTAGATTCTGATTAAAAATAAAAAGAACTTATATTTTTTTAGGATTATATGCGTCACGATACTGCTGAAACAGTTTACGCAAGTAGCTCCTCTATAACATTACAAGATGATTGTGAGCAGAATATAATCCAAGTAGATAGTCCAACTAATAGCAAATCTTCCCTGAATCAAACATTTTCCATTTATAATACTATGAAAATCAAAAATATTGCTCTGGCTAGCATGAGACATCAAACAAGTTTAAGAGAAGCAGCTGAAGTAGCAACAGCTACTTTGATAGATGCAAAACTTATAAGGGAGAGTGATTTCCATCTTATTATAGATCATAACAAGATCAAAAGGGCTCAAGAAAAATTAGCAAAAGAATTAGACAATCAGTTTGAGGTAGACCTAGAAAAAAACCCAGTTACATGCCTTTTTTTTGATGGGAGAGTAGATGCTACAAAAATGTTTATAGAGGTAAATGAAAAAAATTTTCCTAGCCTTATTAAAGAGGAATTACTCTGTTGAAGAGGATTACTCTGTTGTAAAAGACCCTGGGGGTGACTATCTTTTTCATTTTGTTCCAGATGTGACAGCTGATTAAAAAAAAAAGCAGAAGTTATTACAGATTTTTTGTTTGACTGGTTAAAAAAATAAATAAATGTGAATACAGGTTGAGCAGGTGGTGTCATGAATGAGTAGAATAAAAATTAAACAGAAGGTTAGCGTGGATTGTTTGTCATCCACACACTGGTGAGTTAGGGTTAAGGCATTTAATTGAAAATTTAGATGGCGCAACACTTTCTTATAATAAATGGTCTGGACCACTTGGGAAAATGCTTGACAAAGCAACTGAAATTGAAATCAATTCAAACTTCAATATAATAAATTTAGTCCTCCTTTAACATATCTCAGTCAGGAGATTATTAAGGATTTAAGCACTGACCAAAGTTATGCATATCAAATTTGCCAAGCAATAAAGACTGGAGTTTTGCCTAGCAGGTTAGCAATGCTGGAAATCGGACCAGTCTGTCACAGTAGTTGGCTAACAACAGCACTTCGGTTTTGCAGAATTTGGGTGTCAAATCATGGGCTTACTGGTGAAAATCTAGAAAATTTACAAATTATTGTAAATTTTATTGTTAGTGATAACATACCTAACTGGTTTAACATTAAAGTCAAATCAAATTGGATAGAGGGACCTAGACATATTTTGTATCAACTAGAGCTACTTAGAACACAGAATAAAAATGTTTTAGATATTGTTATGCCAACAATTAGGTGATCAGCGTGGTATGCACATTCTGAAGCCATTTTACAAGCCATGCTTTGCAGCAAAAATACAGAAGAAAGAAAAGAA